TACTACATCGGCTAAGAAACATAATGCTTATGCATCTTAACGCAGAACTAGTCATTCTGGGAGAAGAGGCTTTCCTCCGACGGTGGTATACGCGATTTATTATCGTAAAAAACAACAGAGTGCCCATGCCTTTCCTCTCCTATTGAGGAGGTGGGCTAGAGCTTGTACCACTGTGACATTACAGTGTGTATTTTTCTTTTCTTCTTTAGAAACATGTCCTTTTGTGCAATATTGTTCTTGAGCGCGAGAGCAAATTGTCCTTACAGGTGAATGCAAACTATTACGCTACACTGTGAATGACCTCCCTTTGTTTGTTCATATAGCCTTATTGTTTATTTAACTTTAATCATCTCGATGTCATGAGTGTCCTGTATTTGTTGTACAATTTTTGCATTTTACGTCACTGCATACTCTATGAGTTCTTTCGCTGTATATAACAGCTTGCATTGTACACACGCATTGTTCATCATTGTCCATTTTTATGTGTGCACATAAGCTGTGTAAGATATATCTGGAAATAAAATTCTCTTAAACACTAGCTGTGCAAGACTGCTACTGCAATCGAACTTTCCGTTTACCGGGCACAGGTTCACCCAAATAAACAGGTAAATCCAAACATAAAGTCTCCTGTCTTCGGCCCCGTCACGACCCCGTGACAATATTGCCGAAGTTTATATAGAAGGTACTCGAGCACATGCTACAGTTGATACCGGTGCCGCTGTTTCCGTGATAGACGCTAAACTTTGCCGCAAGCTCCGAAAAGTGACGACGCCTCTTGGTATGATGTACTTGTAAACAGCAAATGGGGACCCGGTTCCGCCTGTAGTCACCTTTACTGCCCAACTAATCATTGCGAAGGACCACTACGCTGTCGAGTTTATAGTCTTCTCGTTATGCTCACACAACATCATACTTGATGGTATTTTTATCGCCTAACTACGCCGTTATTGATTGTGAAAGATTGGAACTTGAACTCTTCCCGTTTTACCACCAACCAACTTACCGCATTCAGCCTGCCGTACACAAACTCGTCGTCAAAGAAGGCGCTGAAATTCCGCCGATAGCAGGTGTGTAGATCCCCGTGTCCTGTGACGTCATTACGGACGAAGTTGCATTCTTTGAACCATCATGCCTGTTCCTTAGTCAAAGATAACTTCTGCTTTTTGCAATCCTCTCCATTTCCGAAGGAAACAGTGCTTTTTGCCTTTTCAATCCCCTTCTGTATCCCGTCGAACTGTTTGAAGGTGAGTCTCTTGGACACGTGCACGCCATTGATAAATAACAAATTTTTAGGAGGCCGCCAGACTGTTCTGGTGACTACGACGCCATCAGCGCCCTCAACCCTTCCATTGTACTACCTACCAAGCTTTTTAATTATCGATCACTGACGGACTGTCGCTATCTGAACACTCCGAGCTTCTGCAGCTGCTCTACCAGTTCAGTGAATTCTTTGACGTTGCTCAACCTACCCTTGGCCGAACTCCCTGTTTTTTCACTGCGTTGACACAGGTTCTAACGCACCAGTACGACAGCGACCATACCGCGTTTTTGCCGAGAAACGTCAGTTTATCACAGAACATTTTGTCGTTATGTTCAAACGCGACGTTATCCGACCTTGCAAAAGTCCATGGGCATCACCTGTCATTCTTGTTACGAAGAATGGTTCAATTCGCTTCTGCGTGGATTACAGGCGCTCAAATAAGATCACTCGCGAAGACGTATACTCTTTGCCCAATATTCATCACGCCCTTGATTGCTTACAAGGTACTGAGTTTTTTCGTCATTAGATTTGCGTTCGCGGTATTGGGAGGTGCCCTTAGCAGATGCCGATCATCCAAAAACAGCCTTCGTGACACCGGGCTGGCTATATGAGTTCAATGTCATGCCCTTCGGGCTTATGAAATGCGCCGGCCACATCTGAGTACATGATGTACTCGGTTCTGCGGGGTTTGAAATGAAACATATGCCTCTGCTACCTCGACGATATCGTCGTGTTTGTACCCAACTTCACAAGACGTCTTGTACGCCTGAAACATGTCCTCACGTGTCTGAAGAATGTGCAGCTCCGACTGAATCTCAAAAAATGCCAATTCGCTGCTGGGAAGCTCACTATTCTCGGTCACGTCGTATCAAAAGATAGCGTTCTTCTCGACGCGGCTAAACTTCAAGCTCTCGCTGAATTCCCTAAACCGACGACTGTAAAACATTTACGCAAATTAGTAGAATTATGCTCCTACTTTCGTCGGTTGGTGCGTAACTTTGCCTCCGTAATTGCCCTTTTGACCCAACTTTTAAGCAGTGCCAACGACATCTCGTCATGGTCTTCCGAGTGTGATCCCTCATTTACCACTCTTCGCCATCTCCTGACATCACCACCTATTTGCACCACTGCGATCCCATGGCTGCAACTGAGATACATACAGAAGCCAGCGTTGTCGGTCTCGGTGCAGTTCTCGCTCGACGCAAGCCTGGATATCCTGAATATGTCGTCGCCTACGCCAGCAGAGCGCTCGACAAGGCTGAGGTAAACTACAGTAGTACCTAAAAGAGGGCTTAGCCATACTTTAGGCGATTGGCAAGTTTCACCCATACTTGTATGGCATCACGTTTGCTGCAGTTACAGACCAACATGCCTTATGTTGGTTGTCGTTGCTGAAGGATCCATCAGGTCACCTTGCTTGTTGGGCTCTGCGACTTCAAGAATATGACATCCGTGTCGCATACGATTACGGCCACCAACATGCTGATGCTGATGCGCTCTCGCGATCACCACTGTTTACTGAGGCTGCCTCTATATCTTCTATAAAACACGCGCTGTCAGCTCCTGACACCGACACAATATCTTCTGCACAGCGCGGCCATCCATGGATAACTTCGCTTCTGGACATTTTATCTGAGTTACCGACACTTCTAACCACTCGAGCAATGCGACGCCAGGCTTCGCATTTCACCATTTGAGGTGGCCTCTTGTACCGGCGCGATTATTAGCCAGACAGCAGGAAGTGGCTGCTCAATATTACCCGAAAGCTGCGCTCTACAATCTGTGCATCATTTCACTCCGACCCGCAATGCGCTAAAGCTGGTGTCTTCAAGATCTACGAACGTTTATGGAAGTGGTACTACTGGCGTGGGAGGTTTACCTTTGTTCGACAGTTTACCTTCGTTCGACGTCTGCCATGAATGTCAGCGACAGAAGCAGCCAACGCATCTAGGAGCAGTTCCACTACAGCCACTTGCCTGCCCCGACCGTCCATTTGATCGCGTCGGAATTGACCTTTATGGAACACTGCCATTGACCACAGCAGGTAACCGGTAGGCTATCGTTGCTGTAGATCACCTGACGCGGTGCGCCGAAATTGCTGCTCTTTCTACGGCGACCGCTCAGGACGTTGAAGCTTTCATCCTCCATCGTTTTTGGTTACGTCATGGCCCTCCTCGTGAGCTCTACAGTGACCAGGGCCATGTATTTCTATCCGATGTAATTCAAGCACTTCTCCGCCACTGCCATATTGTACACCGGATGAGTACTGCTTACCACGCTCAGACGAATGGACTGACTGAGCGGTTTAATCGGACCCTTGGTGACATGCTCGCGACGCATTCGGCATCTGACCAAAGGAACTGTGACCTGGTTCTTCTATTTGCGACCTACGCGTACAACATTGCTACCCAAGTCACCACCGGCTTTCCCCCATTCCTCCTTCTATACGGACGTCAACCATTGCACACAATTGACACTTTGCTGCCATACGCACCAGATGTATCGGAGTGCACAACCGTGTCTGAAGTCACCCGTTACGCCGAAGAACGCCGCCAACTAAAGAAGAAGTTTACTACCACCGACCAGCAACGCCAGAAAAAGGCCCGCGATGACGACCACCCTCCTGCCGCAAAGTTCACCCCTGGAACCCTGGTATGGCTGTATGTACAACCCTGTGCACCTGGCTTGTCTACAAAGCTACTTTCGTATTGCCATGGTCCATACCACGTGGTAGAGCGCACATCGCTTGTTAAATACGCCATTGAACCGCTCACGCCACTCGCTAATCATTGTCTGCGTGGACACAATATTGTTCACAAGGACCACTTGAAGCCGTACTTCGACCCGCTAGTTTCCAGCTGTTATATCGCCAGGATGGCTGCTGCATCGTTCTTGACGGGGGCAGTTATAATGAAGGAATAATCATAACACCAGGGAACAACAAGCATCATCGCAGAGAAAGGAACCACGAGATCAGCGCTCGAGCACCACCATCTTCCTTGTCCTGTAGATATTTCGAATCGTCCATCTGCCCGTCAGGTTTGCCCAATAAACCTATTTACACAATAAAGAAAGAGCGCACGAATGCTGATTCTTTCGCTGCCGCGGCTGCGTTTACGAAAGGACCGTGATGCTCACACACGAAGAAGTAAGAAGTGTGATGGTTGTTCGCGCTTGTAGTGTATACCTTTGCGTTAGTTTCGGGCGCCTTTCTTGCCGTTTGAGCAGCTTAGTTGAAGTGTCGAGTTGTGACAGCTGTTTCTTCGCACTCATCCCGTTTATGCTAATTTCGCGAGTGCGCTCTACTTGAGGTGTGCCCTGCAAGTTTTGAGCTGCTTGACGTTCTTTGTGTGACATTTCAATTGCTTCTATAGCATTCATTCTCTCGCCATTGTTGTCAAACATTGCAGAATGAACGCTCAGCTACCTCTGCGAAGACACGTTCCACTTTCGAGTTATTATCATTTTAAAAAAAAGGGATCAATAACGTTTTTTGACGGGGGGTTATATCTATATACCCCAGCCCAATTTTATAACAAGAGGTTGAAAATGCAGGCAAACCTACAACAGGATCGCTCGTATGTATCACCTCGGTTGCTTTTGGTGTGAGAGGATTTTCCGATGTTCTGGGTACAAGCATGATTACCTGCTCTTGCGATGCTCATTGCGCTAAAAAAATGGCAGCTCTTTTAAGACTACAATAACAATGTTCTCACAACTTTACCCATCGATTCCACAGCCGAGGCATCCAGCGTGGAGCTGACGCCTAACCAGCCACCGATTCTCCTGAGCAGAAACCTTGCTGACCTGAGGCTCACCTGCCAGGCCAAGTTGAGCAACGGTACCGTGCTTGAAGAGCCAGGTGGCTACGGGTACGCTTACGTGTGGACCAAGAACGGCATCTTCCTCGACAACACCAACTCATTTCTACAGCCAGAGACAGTTAGCGAGCTTAATGCGTTCACGCACTTAGGCCCGTCTAAGCAAGGCAGATACCAGTGCGGTATGAAGGTGCTGCCCTCGGGCCACACCGTCTGGTCGCAAGTCATCACCGTGGTCTTAGAAGGTGGGTCGAAAGTGCGCAGGTACTTTTCTTGCTTTTAATATATATTTTCTCTGTTTGCATGAACTACGACATGTGCTTAAGTTCACTGATGAGTTAGGTCTTTTGAAAGAGGCAGCATTGGGTGATGAAAATTGCGGCATTCTTGACCATTGCTGTGTGTAAGCTTTGTTTTGTTTTAACGTCGCAATGTATATTTTTGCGACTGTTGCAGATACGTTTGTCTAAAACGTTACGTTTTTTTAACATCGCCATCTATATTATTTACTACGTTTTCATCACCACTATGTCTTTAAGCAATGAATAATCTACGTATTGTATAAAGTTTTATAGGGGGAAATGTTTTGCTAATTTTGTGGTGTTAGTGAGTGAGGGTGCTCTTCATGTTTTAAATTTTCTTTGCGGCTGATCTGCATGTTCGGAAGTTTAGGGCCATGTATGATATATGTTTGCCAACTCTAAGAGCAGAGGAGTAGCTGGTACTTTGTTTTCCCACCAAGAGTTGCTTACACCACGTCAGTAAGTACAATTTTTTCAATGGTCTCAAGAGACGAAGGTCTACAATTAAGACGCAATGCATTTTGCTTTCCGCTTTCCACTCACGGCTATCAAAGCCTGAACTCTAGCTTCTAAACCTTGTACTTGCTTCTAGTAGGACATTTAGCTGGGTTTTTTGGTACTTAGTGAGTGCTTCTTTAACACTCCCGAACATGCACGAGAACTACAGAGAATGACACAGAACAAACACTAGACTTGAACTCATTAAACCGACATAAAAGACAGATAAACAGGTTTCGTTGCGCATATGCAAGTGTCCAGTCAGTGACAAGGTTTGCCAAAATAAATTCTCTGCTGCGCCTCTGTATTGTTCGCTCAAGCTTCGTTTGGATACACATTTGTTCGATTGCGTAGCTGATAGGCTCAAGAAAGGGGGCGAAAATGCAGTCTTGGTGGTCTTGTTCACTTCTCCCAGCAAGATGAAACATCTGCACCCCGCAATGACGGAACAACTGAATTGATGATGTTCTAAGAAACACCAAACCAAGTTTAAAGCTTGCAGAAGAGGAGTCGTTTATTTCAGTCTTCTTGCTCGCGTGATTTTGCCCCGCCACGGTGGTCTAGTGGCTACGGTACTCGGCTGCTGACCCGCAGGTCGCGGGATCGAATCCCGGCTGTGGCGGCTGCATTTCCCATGGAGGCGGAAATGTTGTAGGCCCGTGTGCTCAGATTTCGCTGCACGTTAAAGAACCTCAGGTGGTCGAAATTTCTGGAGCCCTTCACTACGGCGTCTCTCACATTCATACATGGTTTTGGGACGTTAAACCCCACATATCAATCAATTCTTGCCCGCGGCGAAGCGTATATATATATTTCAGATGGAAGATGCGACACCGAACGGCTCAGGGAGCATATTATTGTTGTTATATCACTAGCGAGCAGGGGTTTATTGACGACTGCGAAAATCTGAAGGTTTAATCCTGGCATATGGTACTACTTCTATGACGCACGTCGGAGGCAACAAATATAAATGAAGATAATAAAGGCTCTTCAAATTCACAAGGCGTGTGACAATTGCATCAACACTAGGGTGGCTACAATGGGGAGGTGTGATGAGCGGGGCAATTTCCCCTTTTCGAAGAGGGTCACTCGGCGCGCCGATAACGCAAGGGGCGCGGAGGGCAGCAGTGCAGTTAGGGACAACACCACCTAGACTTTTTTAAAAGTCTAGGTGGTGTTGGTAGAGAGCGGCGCACTTCCCTGTGTTTGCTGCAGGTGCGCTGGGATTTTCTTCGCAAGCAGTCGCTACATAGCAAGTATGCCATTAGTCAGTGTTTGTGCTAGCTCTCTCTGAAATGTCCGAGATTGTCAACGGTAAAAAAGAAGACCCAGCGTTGGTGCTTTGTGCCTGGGTGCCGATAGTGTCGATAGATCAGGAATCGTACACTGCTGAGCGAAGTGACTCCCGCCACGTATATTATGTCGCAGGCTACGTTGCGAGAAATCGTATACTTAGCAATAATTGTGATGAGTGCAAGAACGCCTGTCTTGTCTCGAGGGAAAATGTGCCAGGAAATCTCCCAGCCCAGGCAAGCAAGCTGTGCGTACTGGGCGGGATTTTGTATCCGTCGAATTCTCTTTATACTCTCATTCTGAACCTTGAGGACAAAATCACTCGTTTCCTGAGGTCAGCACGTCTTCATGCCAAGTCGGCCAAAGAGATGCTGAAGGGAATTGGTGAGACACAACAAATTGGCTGCCCAAAGCACGGTGCTCTCTTGACCAAAAGTGTGGTGCAATTTTATTGCCTCACTGTTGTCCCCCTTTTTTTAAAGGAATGAACCAAAAAGAAGACGAAAAAAGGGTGGAGGGTTAAACCTTGTGTACTCTAGTGGCAGAGCATGAATATCTTAGCTTGCATGAAAATCAAGTCATGTTCTTGTTAAAAAAGTGTCTCCTCTATTTCGGCTGCTGGGGACGATTCTCGAGTTACAGGCTTGCGGCATACGTAAGTTTTAGCGCTCTTACAGCGTTACTGGTCTAAGTTATTGAGCAATTGTAGGCTGCGAAAACTTCACGTTCCGAAACCGATAGTTGAATGCGAAGTGAGAATTTAAGCTGCCACTCGCACAAGATTATGCGTTCGCGGCGGAGCAGCAAAACGAGGTTCTTGTACCGACGTTTCTGCTCGTGGATAAACGAACTTAACATGCTCGAAGTAATATGAAGCCTTCCAGTAATCGCAATGTCTCGTAACACCCCTGCAGTTCTGCGGTGAGTAACTGCAATATTACGAAATTCACAAAAGCTGGTGTCGGGTCTCGCTCATATGCCTTCTCGAGAATAGTTTTCAGAGGCGAGAAAATATAGAGATAATTTAGCCACGTAATACATTATGTGGTTTAAGGATCCTAAGTATTGTCGTACATTGACTCAATAAAAAAGGTTTTCACCGAAAATAGGTGACCGCCATATAGCACGAGAGCAGGCTCGTAGCCAGAAATTTTTTTCGGGGGGGGGGGGGCACTTGCTAAAAACTAGGAACGAAGGAGCCCCTAGCCCGTCTTCTCCCCCCGGCTATGGGCCTGCGTCTAACTGCTTGAGAGATTTCTGCGGAGGGCAGCGCGCGCTCATTCGTATGTCGCCTGCGCAAGGGCACCCGAATGAATGGATGGATGGATGGATATGGCTGTACCCTTTAGATCGGGCGGTGGCTAGCGCCACCAAGCCGTAATACTTAATGAACCAAAAACTATATTTATTTTTTCCCCTTAAAAAAGTGAGTTTGAGGATTCGTACTTTGCAGTGAAGAGTAATTTTCACTCGTGCCTTGACTTTAGCCACCAATCAGATAACCTCCTTCTAGTTAAGTCTACCCGCTTGAAGTCTATTTTGCCCTCCCGATCCCTAAACCCCAGTGCTTTGAAAAACTCTGCGCCATCATCCTGAACTATAGGGTGAAGCCCTTTACAGAACATTATCAAGTGTTCGGCAGTTTCTTCTTCCTCTCCACACGCACTGCATACTCTGTCTACCCCTTCATAGTTGGCCCGATATGTCTTGGTTCGCAGTACTCCCGTCCTGGCCTCAAACAGTAGAGAACTACCCCGAGTATTATCATAGATCCTTTCCTTGGCAATTTCCTGCTTAAAGGTTCAATAGGTCTCTACTGCGTACTTCTTAATCATGCCCATTCTCCACATGTCTGTCTCTGTTTCCTTCACTTTCTTCTTAACCGATAGTTCTTTTTGGTTTGGTCACCTGCTGTTTTCTACGTATTTACCAGTCAATTTCCTGGTTCGCTTCCTCCATTTTGTATCGACATTTTTCATGTACAAGTAGCTGAAAACCTTCCTAGCCCAACGCTCCTCCCCCGTTTCTATCAATCGCTTCTCAAATTTTATCTTGCTGCTAGCTTCCCTGCCCTCAAATGATGTCCATTCCATATCACCTTTACTCCCTGATTTGGTGTATTCCCGTGAGCTCCTAAAGCAAGCCTACCTATTCCACGTTGCTTAATTTCTAATCTTGCTTGAACTTCTGATCTCATGCACAAGACCCGCGCCTCTGCGTGCAGCGCTCCAAGCGGCATCAGCGCGCTTTGGGGACCGGTTTCAGCGGCCGCTTTTCACACCTCCTTATTCTAGCCACCCTATCAACACTGTGTCAAATGCATTGTAAAAACACTATTAGTATTGTACTATCAATAAAAATTTTTATGACATCTGACGGGAGAAGGAAGTGTGTCGTTTTGTTTCTTTTTCTTCTGATCTTCAGTACTAGTTTACTGTCATAAAATTTGCACAGTTCCAAGCCAACACCCTTGTGAAATACATGAGCGAGTTTTTTGTTTTTTGGAAGGTGTTACTGATCCACACTGTCTCGACGTATTTTATCAGCGCGTGCTCCGAAAAGGAAGCTTCAACCACATCTCTAGCTCACATTAAGCGATGAGCCATTTTGATTTGATCTTCCTTTGAACCCACACACAGTGATCATAGCATACACGACCGTGCGCTTGCTGACTAGAACTGGAGGCCCCGCTGACATACGCGATGTTTTTCTTCGCATTTCAGAGGAAACCACGCATCTTATATTAGGTTAGAGTAAAGATAAATCCCCGCAGGGGCGTGTGCGTAAGTAGGCGCTTGGTGTGTAGCGACACCACGGACCCAAGCTAAGGGAGTGGTGTTCGACTGCCACCCACGCCTAGCCGTGCTTGGCTTTACCGTGTCCGAGTAAAAGGGGAGCCTGGGAGTTGAGCCGACGTGGGGTGATTTGACCTTTAAGGCCCCCCGGCAGGGCGTCACACCCCTGTGGCCCCGGCTTCACGTAGACGGCACCCCTGGGCTGACCCACCCATAGTAAATTGGCAGTCGCCTTTTCCTGTCTCTCTCTCTATCCCTATTTCTTCGTCTGTCTCACTTTTTATCTTTCTTGTGTAGTTGTCCCTTCTGTTTACTTCCAATTTCCTCGGTGGCAAGGGTTGACCCTGTGCAAATAGT